TGCCAGTTACTATTTGCCTGTTGACCTACTGTGCTGCCTTCTGGTACAGTACATTGCACAAGGCAAGTGAAGGTAGGTTGCCCTTCCTAGGCGATTAACTTTCAGGTAACAGAAAACGAAGAAAAAGTGTATGCAGGCAGGCAACAATCACACACAAATCTGCTTGGCTGCCCTGTGTGTACAGGATGAGGAAAGTAGTCTTGGCAATAAATAACCAAGAGGCTCTAATGATAGTGTCATCTGAATTTACACCAACACAAAGCTGGCTTGCACTATCGGATTATTTTTTTTTTTAAAGCTGTTGGTTGCCACTTAAAAAGAAAGCACATTAATGTTTTTTCAATAAAGGCTGCATTTGAGTGGAAAGCACTGCATAGAACTATCCTCTTCCCTTCACACAATGCCCCTGCCTAGTGCTTGTTGGCTATATTCTAGCAGATTGGCATGGTAAGCTTGAAGTCAGCTGTACATGAGGTTTCCTTCCAAATTTCAGTCTAATAGCCTCCTCAGCTCCAAGGAACATGTGACTTTTTTTCTAGTTGCAACGAAGAACACAACATCCTGCAAAGGCAACAATTTGGCTACTATTCTGGACTATGCTAGACTGATACCAATATCAGCTGCACGATAAAATCGGAGGCAATAATTTGTTTTACGCAGCTGCACTGTCAGATTCTTAAGTATCCCTGACATTGGGTTTCTCTCTCCCTTCACGTGCACAAACGATGTTAAAATAAGGTCAGAAATGCACTTTGTGCCATTCCTTCATCAAGTCAGCTATAGATACATAGCACAAGAGTAAGCTTAAGGTGAACTTTTCTTGCCAGTGCGGGTAACCCAGGAATTGTACAATAACTAGATGAAAGAACATAACATAATTGCAATAGGGAACTTTTAACAGCACAGAGACAGAGAAACCCAACAGGATCACTGTCTGGATATGGTTTGTGAAAGATAAAATGGAAAGGACATCATGTTCTCTTTCCTCCTAAACTTCTCCCACACCCAGGGAGAAAAAGACCATGACAAAATTCAGTATTCTCACAGGCATTTTAATAGAAATCTTCTGTTTTAAAAGAAATAAACAGTATGGCATTTGGTTTATCTCCACAATAGAAGTGAGGTAGGTGCTGAGTAAGCTCTGCTGGAATTAGAACCCATCTAAAGTAATGATAGGACCACACTTGCATCTCTAGCAGCACTACTGCAGAAGAGAGAGCTTTGTGCCAAGGGGAACATAAGTAGTTCCTCACTTGTGTAGTTCTTTCTCTCCACTGGAAAGCTACACTACGCTTGAATGTTACCAAACAACAAAGTATTTCCCCTCCCTGCCTTCCAGAGGTGAGAATTTGTCGGGATCTTTCGTTTTGTTTCTAAAAGGGGGACACACACACTCCGTTTCTATCCTCTCCAGCATTCTCACCTCTTCATCGTCAAAGAGACCTGTTCCACCACTGAAGAGGCCACCCCTAGACCCAAACGGTGTGAAGTCTTCATCAGTCAACTTAGGAGGCTTGAAGATGTCATCATCTTCATCTAGAAAGCACAAGAGCCAAGAGCTGTGGTGCAACTGACCAAGTTTCAGGAAAGGGAATTAAAGAGACAGCCAAAATAAAAATTGGTTTGATTCCATCCCATCTCTCTCATAAACATGACACACAGAGAAGCTGCTGTAGTTATATTGGGTTGTATATGGTTGCTCCACAAGACCACATTTAAGGAGGAACTCTCACTAGGCCTATTTCTAGCCTTGTTTTACACACACATCACAACCTAGATTTGTGTACACACCCACCCTCAAGGATGCTCACTGATATCCCACTCAGTTTCTAGAGTAGATGCCACGACTTCCTAAGTGGTGTCTTACATTCCAGCCCACAATTCAAAAACAAGAGAGGAAGAAATCCTACCATCCGATGGAACTCTCACTTCTTTCTTCTCTTTCAGGGTTTTCCTTGGTTTGGTCTCTGGTGACAGGGCTTTAAGAAGAAAGTTTCAAAACATAAATAAAATAGCCCATCTTTACTTGTGATCAATCTATGATAAAGAGAACCTTGAAAAAAATAATCTAACCAAGCTGACCTATACATTTTCATACGAATCAGGCCAGTGAAGCAATTCTACAAAGTACAGGTTCTAAAATTGGCACTTAGAATTGTAATAGCATCATTCTGTCAGACACTGTCGGTTCAACACAGTTGCCCACACACAGATTAGTGTCAAATGAGATGCGAGAGCAACACAGCATTCCAGATGGTGCAGATCCCACACAGAACACACAGAACCTTTGAGCATCTCAAATGGCTCCAGACGTATTATCCTTGATTCAGTTACCTGAACTCTCAGCAAAGCCAGAGTTTTATTCCTTCTAGCCTTACCATCTCAAGGTTATTGCAACGAACAGAAGGTTTCCCTGTAACTGAACAAGGTAAGCTGGTAGGTTTTATACTCTGATACCCACAGACCTAGCTTGATTGTTTGAACCACACAAGAACACGCACACACTGTTCTTGTCTGTTCATGCTCTCAGAATTACAGGTCAAAAGCAGGCTCACAAGCACTTGCCACCTCAATTTCAGTCAGCTATTTTCAACTGCTGCTTTGCTGCAAGAATATAAGTACTTGAGAGAGGTGTCTCCCTTTGAAAACGATGCAAAAGTAAATGCAGTATTTAGTCTAAAATATCACTGAAAACAGTAGCAAGGAAAAGTTCCTCAAAACGCAGCATATTTAAGCCACAAAGAGGAAAAACCAAACAACCTACACCGCCTGAAAACATAAATCTACTGCTTGAGGGGTTTTCCGCTGTAGAGCTCACAGAAAGACTACAGTGACCAGCGGCTTCCACATACTTACCTGAAACAGGGGGAAGAACATGTGGTCAAACATGCAGTTGTACAAGCAGAGGGAGAATCAGACTGGAGAGAAAACCTTTCCAAATAATATGTGTGCTTGGGGAGTGACCTGTCTCACCTGAAAGCGATGTGTTTTCCACTACAATACTCAGTGAATTCCAAACCATTCCTATAAGTTATGGTCAAAAATTTTCTCAGAAGACAAAATAGTGTCTTTATTTCCTCTCACTGGGCTTTCACCTACTGCATATTCAAATAACAGATCTGTGAAACTTCTGTTACACAGAATGTCCTGTTCAACTCTCTCACGAGTCCCCCACTATCTCACAAGCGCTTATCTAGTGTTAACTTACACGAACGCTCTTCATCCTGTTTGACTAGTACTTCTCCTTTGATTCGGGCTGCCAGCTCATCTGCAAACGACGTTGGCCTCTTCTTTTTCTGAGGAGTAGGGACAAATAACAGCATATTCCTTATATACAATCTGGTTACCAACTTGATGCAATTGCAATTATAAATACTCTATTCTACAGCCTCACTTGTACAATATCCTGTCTAGACTTTGATTGAAGCCCTTAGAAGAGGCAATGCAGCTTTCTATTAAGAAAGCAATTGAGAGATTATGCGTGCATCAAGAGGAAAAAAAAAGCCATTTCTAGTCCCTTATCACATATTTTTTTTTAATGTCACCTCGTTTTGGGAACAGGATGAGTAAGAAGCATTTACCACACGTAAATGCAACAAGTAATTTCTCAATGACCCTCAAAGACAGCTTTGATGCCAGCTTAGGGTGCAGGAGTCCCCCAGTTTAAAGGGGTAAAGCCTGAACAACCATGTTGAAAGACCATTCAGGATTTTTACAGGCCCTTTCTATGGGATCTGATCCCAGGTAACTGAGAGCTACCATTATAATCCTTGTAAGAACAGATTTTTCATGAGGGAAGTCAAATCTCTCTCTCCAGGGAGGCAACAATTACTTACAGGCCTTGCGCTTTCATCTAAGTCTCCATCCTCATCTTCCTCTTTTTCAGAGTCAAAGAGATCACAGCCATCGTAATCATCTTCATCGCTCATCTGTGCTGTCCTCTAAAAAACAATAATACCCTGTTGTGTTCTCCTGGAGTTGGCATACAAAACAAGCACAAAACTACATCTGCTTAGCTAAAATATTCAAAGCAAACTTACTGAAAGGAGGGAAACATTCAGCCATTTTGGGGTACTTCACAGCTTTTAAGAGCTAAAGAGTGCCTCTAGCTCCAAGCAAGTTGCTGCATTCTCTAGTACACCCCCGTGCTGTGTCACTGAACATTTCCAGACCAGAGACACAACTGAGGACACTAAGGCTCTCCTCGCAAGGAGCGTACTGCTACTATACACAAGCCTGAACTGCTTTGGCTGTGCTGCTTCCCTTAGCTTATGAACTCCACTCCACTGAAGACCTACTATTTAGCCTTAATTCAGGAACATTGTGATCAGCTAGTAAAAAGTTGTATCATCTTGAGCTACTCCTAAGGTGGATAGCAGAATGGCAGACAATACATGCCCACGTCTTGGCTTCAGTCATGTCAGTAAGAAACAGAGGATGAAAAAGATGAAGTGAATTGTGAGCTGGGGGCTGGCACAGTCAAGGGCCCAGAAGTGAACTAAGTCATGAACAACCCAAAGATACTTGCTCATCTTAAAATACATCAGGCATACAAAGTTACCCTATGAAGGTCAATACAGCTTAACGTAACATCTGAGTGTGTTTGTAACATTGTTTTATCAATACATTGATTTAAAAAGGGTTGCTTTTTGAAACATTGTTCTTTTGGCACTAAACCATTTCAGGTTGAGGAGCCTCAGCATACATGTCTTTCCCAGTGGCGCACCGAAACATGGGTAAGATTCCTTCTCCTACTACCACCTACTACCAACAACTAAGGTCAGGCTTGAATTTTTCATTCTAAACATTTCTTTTCCCTTTTCATTCGTTATCCAAATGGACATACTTTTCAAACATTTAATACTGTTCACATCCCCAATAATCCTACAGGAGCCTCGTTTTCCTGGGGTAGATTCTTTGAACTCTGATGACTCCAAAATTATTCCTGAGGAAAACACACATCAGGCAATGCCATTGCACATATGTTTTGCATCTAATGATGGCTTGCAAGCATGTCTTTAAGCCCAGCCCAGGTTCAATTTCACAACACAGTGCCATCTGGCCAGGACAACCTTCCCATACAAAGTTATACAAATCAGGATTAACCAAAGTTTTTAATAGTTAATTTTCTAGAGCTCTTATCTCCTCTTTCTTGCATCCTCACTGTGTCACAAGTGGAAAGTCTTTCAGGTTGTACCAGGGTATATAACCGTACCATCTTTTGGTCATCTTCACTAGGGTTTCCAAATTCATCATCTGATTCCTGGAACACAAGAGACCAAAAGACAAGCATCACACATTTTTGTCCAGCCATCAAGAGAGGGCTCAGAAGATTTGGACTTGCTTATGTTTAGACATTCAGATCTCCTCACTGTGACCTGACCAAGGAATTGTTCCTCCACCGTTGACCATCGTTATGAACAGAGCTCACTAGAAAGTCATTAATTTAGCAAAGACAGCAAGCTCCACCTGACAGTGCATTTGAGTGACTCAAAAGGGATTTAACTTTAATTGAGCAAAGATACCAAAAGCAAACTCATCAGGAAAAAGGGAGTGCTTGCATAGCACAGTTACAAAGCAGAGACATCCCAGCCAAGGCAGGCAAAACATATCAGAAATTGATAGTCCAATGCAGCAGATTTATGAGGCAAAGCCTGGAGGTGCATTACTGACACCTACTTAACCTTTAGACTTGCTCCTGTTAGTCTCCATCCCATTCTTTGTAACTGTAATTTACAACAGATTTGTTCTCCATAAATGCAATTCTTGATAAGAATCTGATTTGCTTCACAAAGTGAAATTAGACTGGAATAAAACACTTCAGTTTGAAGTATTCTACTATAATAGCAGTTAGAGCCAAAGCCACTTTATTGCTCCTCTGAAAAGCTGCAGAGGAAACTACTGCATAAGAATAATAATGAAAAGCACATTTACCACAACTGACATGGGGAACAGACATTGTGCAATATTATCTTGAGACCCCACATGAAAAAGCAAGGTAGCTAATGGCCTCATACACAACCAAGGACTCATGAATGCTTGTGCAAAGCAGCTGGTACTCTGTCACTTGTCACTTACCTCTTCATCCTTCTCTTCACTGTCAATTACACTTCCACGATCGCTATCTACAGATCCTTCTATTTTAAATGAAAACAGAGAAGTTAAGATCAGACACGACATCTGTACACAGAGCAATGTGGTCACCAGACATATCGGCAGCAACTTTAAGGGCTTTGTGAAGAGAATTAAAAAATCAGGTGGAAAAAAGAGTGGTTTGGAAGAGCTTTGAAGGCTGCCGAAATTTCAGCACTTTGCATTTCTAATACACGGAGCACAAGTTACTGAGAAGTTACTGCTTTGCATACCAGCAAAGTGGTTGTTACAGCATGATGCACATTTTTTCCCCCAGCTAATTACAGTGTGCATCTAAACATGCGAGAACACTACGCAGTATAACCCAAGCTGTGAGTTAAAACACACCGAAGTCTCAATTAGGAACTAGTTACTCGCATAGGAATGAGAGGTCATGCCAGCACATACCTTCACTAGAGAGATCTCCGAGGCCAACATCATCTTGTTCCATAAACTGCTGAGAGCCAATCAAGTAAGGTAAAGGCCTATCAATATAGAGATCCTGGAAGGAGAAAACATCAGGTCTTTCTGACACCTAGGAACAGCTCTACATTGCTGGCAAAGACAGAAGTCTTACACCCCTTGTTTTAACTCAAGGAAGATACAAACCTGTTTAAAGAGAGTCCCACCAGACACATGCTTCAAGTCAGCATGCAACTGGGTGGGCCAGCTGAGGTTTATTCCTTTTTAACACTGTCAAAGAAGGGAGCTACTTCTACTTGTGTGGTCCCAACTTGTTTTCTAGGTGTCATCTAACAGAAGAATATCCTTGCAAAGACTTGCAAACACCAGTCTTATCCCAAATCCTGCACCTAGTGTTCTTAATTACTGGGAAAGTAAAAACCACCTATGAAGATATGGTTTGTACCTAAAAAGCATGAAATTTAAAGGTCTCACTCCACCCAGAATTGAGGCTTCTCTTTCCAAGTTCACTGCCATTAAACTAACTCCCTTTAGGGTGCCATACCTTAACGCTAACCCAACTGCAAGACAAGCAGGCTACACAAGGAATAGCTCAGCAAGGAGCACTTCTCCTTCAGATGCAGTCATCAAATCCTCTTTTTAGGTAACGAATATCAATTTTATACCAACGCAGTGATACTGCTGACAGAAGCAAAGAGCAAGTCCAACAAAGCCAAACACAAACCCACGCTCCCAGCAAGAACAGGTACCTTTGGCTCAAGTATCAGTTCCACCCTTTCGTTACTTTCTTCTTCTTCTGAGTCAGAGTTGCCTGCTTTGATGTCTAGCTGTTCAAACGCACTGTCCAGAACTTGCAGCCCATAATTCACTGCTGCTTGGATTTTGGGGATCAGATCAGCTTCTTTCTGTTCCCGTGTCTTTTCCTTTAGTAACAGGAACAACACATTCTCATTGCATTTTACTCAAGACTTAATCTCACTGCAACATGCATGCAAAATTTCAACTTCAAATTAGTACAATGAAAGCTTTTTCACTATATGTAAGAGAAAGACCTTCAGAACCTTTTTTTGCTTGACTTAATTCACCTTTATCACTCCCAGAAACAGAGATGTTCTAGACATCCACACCAGCACAGTACTATCTTATTTGTGCTCCCAGCCCATCAAGAGAACATTTATGGTATAATACACCTAGACTGTAAGGTATATAGAAAGCTCTCTGAGTTTTTATCCCTGGGAATTGCAGTCAGATTCTACTTCCCCAATTCACTACCTCTGAATCCAATAAGAAGGCCCAAGGCCTCAATTCTATTGCTGAAAAAACATGCACAGCCATTTGAAAATCATCACATAAGTCTTGTCTACTGGACACAGTATTGATCTTGGGGAGGCCCTAACAGATTATCATACACTGTAGTAGCCTCCAATGTTACTGTCAACTTTATGTTTGAATGACATACACTATCCAACAGAGAGACTTCAAGGAGAAAGGAAACAGTTTGATTGTAAGCTGTAAATGTCCGCAAAATAAGTTTGAAAATGAGAAGGTAGACAACAGCTGCAAACATACTGCCAGCGCTCAAGGCAGCTTAAGTTAACTACCTGCTCTGTTTTGTCTCCACCATCAGCTTTGGGAATAGGCTCTTCCACTTCTTCATCATATACTCTCTAAAAAGTCAAGCAAAATTAATTCAAGTAAGAACAACATACTGCTGCAGGGGCTAAACCACGGGCACACCAACAAAATAAAATACAATGTTAATGTGTAATTAATTACACATTAATTTATTACATATTTTTAAAAAAGCCATGGATGATGCCAGCATTTTCATAGCTTCCTTCATGCATTGAAGTCATCATCCTGAAGTTACCATCAGGCAGCCTCTCAACCTAACTGAGGTAATTCAAGACTGCAAATGTCACTGCAGTAGTAGAAGACAAGTTGACCATTTAACCCTGTTCACAGATTGACCTGAATATGCTAAAAAAAAAAGCACTGTTTTAACCCCCCTAACATAAAGCTATTCCAGAAACCTTCAAAGTTGAACCTAAGTTTACTTACGGGCTATTTTCCTTTTGTTTTCTGTCATTTAGTAGCTTTCATTCTTTAGCATTTACGCTTCCCCTGTACTGAGAAAGTTCGCATCCTCCCTCAGCCTTCAGTTTGTTCTGATGATCCCTCCCATCCAGCTCTTTTAGCACTCTTTTGTAGGATCAGCTACAAGGAGACACAGTGGAATAAAGTCTCCCTTGAAGCTGCAAACCTAAATCCAAATCTCTCAAAACACAGGTGCACTTATCCCCTGGGAAGAGACAGATCTCTCACATGAACTAAATTGAGAACTAGAAATGAGGACCTATTTCTGTGCACTTAAATTTGGGAACAAACAGCTTCAAGCACCCAAGATTTAAGACGTTTGGTACAACCCATTCTCAGCAGAATCATGATGCTGAACAGCAAAGGTAGGCCAGAAAAGACATTGCAGCTCTGAAAAAAGCCACCACCACCACCAAAAAACCCCACAACAGAAATCCAGATTTTGTTCGTCTCGTCCTCTGCCAGCGTCTTTCCAATAATAGCATCATGGCTTCAGATGAGATACACGTGGCCTGAGAACAATGCTGATCAAAAGAAAATACCCAATAAAACTCAGAGTGCTAAAAAACCCTCCACAAATCTGAAAGACTATTAAAGCTCCACATCTTAATTATAAACATGCTCCTAGTGATACAGCGTTGTAACAGGCTTTCAAGTCTAGCTTTTACCTTCCTAAAATAGCAAGATTCATAAAGTGGGAACATTAACCGACAAATACGCTCATCATGACCAAACGTAACAGACAGCTGCCTGTAGTCCAACACCTTTAACAGCAACTGCTTTTAGCATAAAACACCACTGGGCAGCTTTACAGCATCGTATAACATTCCTCATATTTAGACAGCCAAGTGCAGCCAAATGCTACATTCATGCTACCTGTAAAGATATACCAAGACATCCCTGAGATAGCTCATTCATAGTCCTAAAAACAAAACTCTGATCTCCATGTCACATATAAACAAGGAAGGAAGGTACCTCAGAAGAGGCAAAAGGGAATCTGCCAATATTGGACAGTAAATCACTCACGAAGGAATGAGGACACCATTTAACAGAAAGCGATTAAAAGCCACTTCATCTCTAAATTACCATCAGATTTGCCAAAAAGTCAGATCACTTCTCCACATTACAGTAAGGCGCAACACCGATGTTTGAAGTACAAGCTTGGTGCCGTACAAAAGCATACTCACGTTCTCTATGAACTGCGTATTGGACAACATAAGAAAGTCATTGAAGACATTATGAAGGCGACAGTCTGTGGCTTTTGTTTCACTAATCAATCCATCTACTTGCTTTTTGATTTCATGAGTCCTGGAAATGGTTTGCTGCGAGAACTCTTGTAGAAAACGCAGAAGCTGTTTACAACAGAGGAAGGCAATAGTCAGCATCCAACTCCTTTTTCTTTTGGCACCGTTTATGACACCGGCAGAGCAGATCATACACTTCAACCGAGAATCAAAACAAACACGGTTTAGACGAAACACCCCGCGTACGCCCAGGACCAAGTCTCTGTTTCCACTCCATTCTGCACTCCCTTCCGGGCCGACTCCTCATTTTCGTTTTCTCGCCCGGACCGGAGGCTTACAGCAACGGGAGAGCCTGCCGACC